ATTTCAATTTTATGCTCATAGCAATTGGCTCTTCCCAATTTGCTCGAAAACAAATTCTTATGCTTTTCCAAAACCTTACTAAGTTTTGCACTTTCAGAGACCTCCAATGTAGATCCTATTTTTATATTTATTAAGGGATCATCGGTACATTGTTTGATGCAGTTATTATGTAATACAGATTTATTATTATATTTGAAAGGTATAAAGTAGTCTTTGTTTTTCACTTTAAATTCTATTCCAACAGTAGTATTTCTCAAATCAATCAATATTTTATTTCTCTTGAGCCAGTCAAAGCCTAATATTAAAGGTCTTATTAAATTACCTACAATTAAAGTTTGTGTTTCAAAGACTACTTCATCTATCTTTATAGGCAATATGATCATCTGTTGTATTTTTGTGCTGCGCTGCCCAACAGCACCTTTTATTTGCATTGCTTTAACTGGCATTATTGATATTTTACGATTATTTTCTTTAATTTGTAAATATAAACTTTCTGAAATGCATGTAACATCGCTCCCAGTGTCGAGGAGCGCGTCTATTTCTTTGTCAAATATTGAAACTTTAATTTCAGATCTCATATTCCCTATAAATTCCCTTTGATATTTATCTTCGTCTTCCTCGAAGACGGTTTGCACGAATAACTCCGTTATGGGCAAGTCCGACCTGGCTTTTAAGGTGTTTAATATGCTATTTACATTGTCGTTATAACCAAGGCCTTCTCTGTTAAAATTTGCTTTTAAAGTAATAGGTTTTCGCAACCCTCTATTGTTTTTACCCAATGTTTGACCAGGTCGCCAACCCAGTTTTAATAACATATTTAATGCTTTGTTCCCTTTTACATTGTAAGGGGTCGAATTGGGAACTAGTTCGACCTCTACAGCTCTAAATTTGGCTCAGGGGCCGTAACATCAGGTTGGTCATTAGTGAAATGTATTTCATGTACTTCATTAACCTTCTTTTTTCCCTCTTCGGGTTTACGCCATATTTTGTATGATTGTTGTATTTCTTTATGTTTTTGCTCCGTATTATTATTAAACTTCCTCCTTTTCTCATTATAGTAAGGTTCACGACCTTCATCTTGTTTGTCGATGTCATCTAAGTTTCTTAAGAAATCTGTCGTGTCTATTATTGTCTCAATATTAGCTATTCTCCATAATTGCTGCACAGCTTTAGGATAATGTCTGATTACATCAGTTACTAATTGTTTTTCAGGTATCGGATATGATAATGTTTGTGCCTTCTCAACCACATAAAGAAAATAACTAACCATGGTGGGGTGTGTACTTCTATTCCATTTATTTTGCACAAGGAATCTCTTTACTTTATTTTGTTCTTCTTCACCCCAAAACACTCTTAGGAAGTCAGCTTTAAAATCATCAAAAGTTGTCCAACGCACATTATTAATGCGAGCCCAATACTTGGCTTCACCTACTAAGCACTCTTGTGCAATCGAAATTTCGAGACCATTAGATGGAACTTTCTTTAAATAATTGGTGAGATCTTCCAAAAATGATACTGGATGAGTATTTCCATTTCCGAATTTCGGCTTTTCTATTGTTACATTAGGTACATTATATACAATATTTTGTCTAGGATCATTTACATGAGAGGTGCTCGCCCCGGACACCTCTCCTTGATTTATTTTAATTTGGTAATCTTTCGTTTGGTTAATAAATTTTTCCTCAAGATCCTTTATTTTAACCTCCAAGGTTTTCACTGCATTCTTAATTAATTTCTGAAGCATTTTCATCTCATCTTTAGGCTTAGCCTTAATTGAGGTTGATTTGTTCTTATTTTTAGCCATTTTTAATTTTTATTACCACTTGTTTTTTTTTTTTTTTTTTTTTTACACCTTTTGTGTCCTTCACTTACTTTAATTGAGTTTTTCCACTTATTTCACTTTATAATATATAGTATTGCAGTTTTTTTTTTTTTTTTTTTTTTTTTTTTTTTTTTTTTTTTTTTTACACCTGTTGTGTCCTTCGCTTAGTTTAATTGAGTCTTTCCACTTATTTCACTTTTTATTATTTCGCTCCGTTATGCACACACCTCCTATATTATTACTCAATTTTAATATTTAAGCCCCACCCCCAGACTCTCAACCACCCCCAGCAAACACCACTCTCCAAGACACCTCTCCATTTCACTGACAACAAATTGTAGGCATATAGCCTACCTCATAATTTTATATTACCGGCCTCCTATTTAAAATTTAACCTCCATCCTGGTCACGGCACCAAATTGTAACGAACCCCCCCCCCCCATCTTTTTTCTTTTCTACTATATCCCACTTATACTTGTATTTCTTTAGAATCTATATCTGTAAGATATATAAATACATCTAATTTACGTGACCAGTATAACTTGATCTTTCTAAAGGTTTAAATATAGGCCGTTTAATAAATTTATGGCGTGATCGTCTTAGTTAGGACCCTTTTTTACGATGTGTTTGTATAGTAACTTAGTTCTTTTAGGTGTATCTTGGAAGAATGAATATTCACGAGAGCAATCGAAAGCTGTTGGTAGAATCTTATAAGCTAGAGAACCCCGTTCACGAAGACAGAGCTCAAAAAGGTTAAGAACAATAAATTGTCCCTATTCCACTTGTATCTGGTTCACAACAGTCAATTCCTTATTAATTAATCCCTTCCCGCTTGGAAAAGGCTCACAATATTTATATCAAATACCAGTTACAAGGGCTTCGCTCTCCCACATTTTAAAAAAAATGTGGAGGAGGTACACGGCCCCACACACGCCGCGCACGGTGAGCGCCAACCATTTTAATGCGCTCCCCCCGAAGGGTACGCAAAGTTGGGAACTGGACCGTAGTCCACAGCAAAATAACTGGCGAACCAGTAAAAGAGGACTTGGCCCCTTGATAGTGCGTAAGCACAAACATCGACCGAAGTCGCGCATGTCAATGCGTGTAAACGCCATACAGAATACGATCAAATCCAGTCACAGTGAATGTACGTCACACGGGTTAGGCAACAATAGGCACACTGACCATAAAAAGCCTTCCGTGAGCGCCACCACCTGCCAGACCGCCGTTCCTGCAGACGTGATGTAAGTGTAAGGCATCACCACCAATTGCATGGTCAGCACGGCCAATTGGCCGCAGAGCGTGTCATGAGTCTACCGCTCACCTCAAGGGAATGGGGTCCCACGTTGCGCGGCTTTCGGCCGCAGCCTTGAGAGCCTCCTCAGATTCTCCCTCCAGCTACCACCCGCATGAGGTCAACACATATGCTCCACCAACCAATACAATGGCAGATATAACCAATAGGCAGTTATAAGATAATATTAATAATTCGCCATCAGAAAGGGTTTGTGTCACTGACGTTGAGTATATGCATTTTTCGATCATGTTTGTCTCACCCACCAACAAGTTGCCTTCAATCTCTCAAAGGTGGGAACTTTATAGAGATATATTATTAAGTTGTTATATAAAACATCATGGAGGGCAGACAGTCTGCAGCCCCGCTATGAAGGGACCCGACTTGGGCAAAGCTACTTAGGTTGTGAGTCAAACCAAGACGCAGAGAGCGCCATTGAGAATAGCGACCCGCCAAACAACCATCGTAGAGACACAATGCTACAGAATGCAACAAGCATCAATACGACTATCGTCGGGCTTACACCATCCCAAGGTCCCCCATACAGTCCCAGCAGACATCACCACCCGCATACCTCCATCGACCAGAACCACAAGATGCATCGAATCAGGTGCAGTACACCCGCAGATCCATCACAAGACGCAATACTGCAAGTAGCAGTAAGCATCAATGCAACTATCATACGGATGGCGCCCCCTCACAACACACCCACATGATCCCTATCGACTTTGGTAACAAAATTTGATAATGTTGTTAACTAAAAATACCACCGACGTATCATAGTAGTACGGTACTAAGACGTCAGTAGCCAAAACTCCACGTATCATAGCGCTATTGCACTAAGACATGAAGTTGAGTATGCTTGCTGCACTTAAAAGTACTACCAAACACACTCACCCTAATCCGAAAGATAGCCGACGTATCATAACGCTATGCGCTAAGACGCCGCCCACAACCGGTAGGGGTGTGCGATGTCCACGGGCAAGTCGTATTGCTACAACAAACCCGCTTACCACCGGCACTAAGATGATATGTCTAGGACACATCGGTTAGTGAGTCCAAGTTTACCTCGGTCTCAGAGGCTGCGAAGCAACCTACACGCCACTATAATAATCCTTTTCAAGTCCCATTTCTTTCAATATAATGCTTTTACATATTTGAGACCTTCCACATATTTGCTTTATTTCATAGACCATACTACTGTATGTCTTATTCATATGGGACTTCAAGTCATAACTCTGCTATCATAATGCTTATGCATCATAGAGACCTTCTATATTAATGCTTTGGTTCGTCAGACCTTACTATGTTAAGTCCCTAATATAGGACTAGTCATTGTGCAACCTTAGTACTAGCAGTCGGTCAGCCGACCACCCCATATATATGTACAACCTTGGGTATGTGTCTCCGACAACGCCCCAATATAAGGGTACATTACAAGAACACGTTCATTAACTTAGAAATTTTCCAATTATTACACGAACTCCTTCATCAACTTAGAAAATTTTAATTCATTTTTTCTATTATATTACAAATGTTATTTATCTTTGTTATTGCAATATAATCGCCTTGTATTTATATGATTTGATATATTTTGAACATTTTAAGCAGGTTTTTAATAAATTTAGAGATTTTTTGAGACATTTTATGCGTTTACTAATATATATAATATTCAATATTCCAAATGGATATTTTTGAACTCTATGCTTATTATTTGCATTTTATTGTTTAAATTATAATTTCTATGACATTTTTAAATGTCTGTATAATGAATTTAATTATTATTTATTAATAATAATTATGAGGCGTCACACTGTGTTGGGTAAAATACTAGAAAAATTATTTATCAACCGGGTCCAGTGGCAGTTAGGAAAAGAGAATAAAATGAACCACAGACAGTACGGCTTCACACCCCAAAAAAGTACCGAAGATGCCCTATATGACACTATGGCGCTAATAAAAAAAGGACTAAAAGAGAAATCCATTGTTGTACTGGTGTCGTTGGATATAGAAGGCGCGTTTGACAATGCCTGGTGGCCAGCCATTATCAATGAGCTTCACTCCAAAAATGTTGACGCGTCTATGTTAAGGCTCATAATTAGCTACTTGTCGGAAAGAGAAATACACCTCAAGTACGCTGGACAAGAAATTAAGAAACCGACAAATAGAGGTTGCATCCAAGGCTCTACATGTGGACCCATGTTCTAGAATACTCTACTCGATCCATTATTGCAAACAACGGAGAACACACAAGCCCATGTACAAGCCTTTGCAGACGATATCTTGATTATCGCCAGTAACCAAGACGGACAAAAACTAGAGATAACCTTAAACCACACTCTTAAAATAATAACAGAATGGGGCAAAAAACATAAATTAAGATTTGCTCCCCATAAAACTCAGTCGGTGCTAATAACAAGGAAACAAAAATTTCATCGGCCTTTGCTAAAAATGGAAGAAGTAGAATTACAATACTTGGATCAACTGAAAGTTCTGGGCTTAACAATAGACCAAAATATAAATTTTAAGCCCCATCTGGATAATGTTTGTCGCAAGGCTATTAATATTTACAAAATGGTCTCAAGAGCAGCGAGGGCTAACTGGGGCCTGAACTCAGATATATTGAGAACAATCTACATGGCAGTCGTAGAACCAACCATATTGTATGCTGCCAGCTGCTGGGCCGAAACAACAGACAAAAAGTATATTGAACGCATACTCAACAGAATGACCCAGATTTTTGGTATACGAATTAGTAAAGGACATAAGACTAACTCCCTGATCTCCAGTACACTCTTATCAAAAATAATACCGCTAGCACTAAGAGCCAAAGAGAACGCTAGTATATATGAAATTAAGAGAGGCAAACCTATAGAGCTTTTACCAGGAAGAGAAATCGAAACAAGAATAAGCCCCTATGATCTCCCACATCCTTGTGAAAGAATACAACGTAACTTCAAACACGTAAATAACCAGAAAGATATTGACGAGATAAAAAACGACTGGGTTAGAATCTTCACCGATGGAAGCAAGATCGACGGAAAAGTGGGAGCAGCAGTAACAGTTTGGCACAATGGACTCGAAATTAAAACAATAACTTTCAGACTGGAGAGCTACTGCAGTATTTACCAAGCGGAGATGATGGCAATACAAAGAGCGCTAAAATATATAATAAGCAAAAAATATCCAGGTGCAAATATAATTAGCGATTCTAGATCGGCAATTACCACTATCTGTGACCCAGTGTCTCTTAATCCAATAGCATCAGAAATACGAACAATGATCAAGACTTTAGAAGACAACCGGAAGCAAGTCGAGCTTTATTGGATTAAAGCACACTGCGGAATACAAGGCAACGAAAGAGCAGATGAACTTGCTAAGCAGGCAGCTATAAAAAATAAGCAAAGCCCGGCTTATGATAAATTCCCATTGTCGTATGCAAAGCGCCTCACCAGAAATACGACTCTGCAAATATGGCAAAGGAAGTACGAACAAGCAACAACCAGTAGTATAACGAAAAAGTTCTTTCCAAATATTGTTAAAGCCTATAAGATATTAAAAAGTATAAAAATGAATAACTTAGTTACACACTTGTTTACCGGTCATGGGGGAAACAAAGCCTATTTGTATAAGTATAAATTATCCTCATCCCCATGCTGCATATGCGATGAAAATACAGACCAAACTATAGAGCACATTGTCATTGATTGCCCACGTTTTGGGAAAAGAAGATTCGAGACCGAGTGCAGCATGGGTGTGGAGATAGTAGCAGAAAACTTAAAATTTATTATAGAAGATGACTATTGCCGACCTATCTTTATGAAGTTTGCCCTTTTGGCATTAAAAAGCATAAGTAAAGAAAATGGTAGTAAAATTATAGATTAATTATTTAATAACTTATAGATAAAAACATACAATTTTACGAATGTATAAGAAAAAAGAGAAAAAAAAACAGGCTGATTAAACTAAATAAATGTAACTATATACTTATAAATAGAAAAAAATCCAAGAATATATATATGTATGTGTGTATGTGTGTGTGTATGTGTGTATATGTGTATATATATGTATATGCATATGTACATGTGGGTGTGTATGTGTATATGTGTGTGTATGTGTGTGTATGTATGTGTATATGTGTATATATATGTATGTATGTGTATATGTATATATATGTGTATATGTATGTATGTATATATATGAATAGAAAACGCAATGTAATAAATAGTTCGATAAGAAAGAAACCTGTAAATAACAGCACTATAGTAATATAAAACTAACAAGTACCGAATAATATATAAACATATAAATATTTAGCTTAGAAAACAAATATACTACGTAATTTAATAAGTAGTAATAAAAAGCAACAAAATTGTAACCAACATAGCATTATATTAGTCATATAGAAATAAGTAGAAAGAAATAGAATAATATATTAGATTATACAGTTAGTAATAAATAATAAAGTAGAAAATGAAATAATTAGCCATTGTTAGAGTAAGACCTCACTAACATGAAGTAGTTATAAAGATATTGTAATTGTACATGCACATGTGCCGCACGTATATATATATATAAAAAAAAAAAACAAAGACCGGCAGTACGGAATTATAAAAAAAAAATAAAAAAATAAAAAAAAAATAAAAAAAAAAAAACAAAAAAAAATAAAAAAAAAAATATATACAAAAAACAAAAAATAAAAAATAAAAAAAAAAAGAGATATTAAATTATACAGCGAAAATATCACAGAAAAAAGGGTACTGCAGAAAAGTAGTAGTAACAAAAGTATAAAAAAAAAAAAAAAAAAAAAAAAAAACCTAACCTAACCTAACCTAACCTAACCTAACCTAACCTAACCTAACCTAACCTAACCTAACCTAACCTTTTTTTTTTTTTTTTTTTTTACATGGGGAAATGCCTACGCATACCCGCCTCGCGGGGGCAAGGACGGGTTATGTCGGACTCGCACCGACTAAAACCCCATGGTGTTCCAACCTCGTCGCATATTGGCAGGGCCACGGGAACGCTTTCGCACACTTCCGCGGCCCCACCTGCGCTGGCCGCCCCATGGCGGCCCCTCCTCGGGAGACGACCACTCCTCCCCCATCTCCCTCTCAGGTAAGGCGCACCAGAACACATGGCGCGCCCTCCTCCTCGGCCTCCAATTTCACATGCGCAACGGACGCCCCCGTGTCCGATGCGCGAAGGCCATGGGGCCAGGAAAAACTAGCACTAAGAAGCACCAGCCTTCCTGACCCCAGCGGCGGATCTGGTCTCGGGCTCCGCCGCCAACCAAGTTTCGGCCGCGGAGGGTAGGGAGAGCGGCGCCTCGCAATACCGACACTCCTCTCCCCCCGCGGCCCCACCACCACCGCATCAACGGTGCGGCCCCGTTTGAGTCGCGGAGGATAGGGCGAGTGGCGCATCGCCATACCAACACTCCTCTTCCTCCGCGACTCGACCTCGGCTGCAGCGGTAGAGGGTGCGGACTCCCCTCTCACCGCAGCCCACCAACACACATCCGAAGTGGGCTTCCCAAGCCCACTCGGAGTGGCCACCTCGGGCCGGCCCTACACCTCGGGCCAGCCAAGGGGTTCCTCTTCGTTCACCGTGGTTGACCAAGCCACGGCTACTAAGCCCCCCCGCCACGACAAGGCGGGAACCCGTTCGGGGGGGAACCTAACCTAACCTAACCTAACCTTTTTTTTTTTTTTTTTTTTTCGTGGGGAAATCCTCATGGATACCTCCGGCTGCGGGGGCAACCGGAAGGTTATGCCGGACTCCTACCGGCTAAAACCCCACGGTGCCTCCTCGCACGTGCGTGTGGGGCCGCGGGAATCCAAATTCTTCCGCAGCCCCACACTAGTGCTGGCCCGATCTGCCTGGGCCTCGTCTCCTGCACGGGGTAGCGAGGTGTTAAGCTACCCCCCTCCACGGCCTCCAACTCCACCTGCGTATCGGACGCCCCGTGTCCGATGCGCAAAGGCCATGGGGCCAGGAAAAACTAGCACTCAGAAGCACCGGCCTTCCTGGCCCCAGCGGCGGATCTGGTCTATGGCTCCGCCGCCAACCGAGATTCGGCTGCGGAGGGTAGGGAGAGCGGCGCCTCGCAATACCGACACTCCTCTCCCCCCGCAGCCCCACCACCACCGCATCACTCAACGGTGCGGCCCCGTCAGAGTCGCGGAGGATAGGGCGAGTGGCGCATCGCCATACCAGCACGCCTCCTCCTCCGCGACTCCACCTCGGCTGCTGCGATAGAGGGAGCGGACACCCCTCTCGCAGCATCCCACCGACACACATCCGAAGTGGGCTTCCCAAGCCCACTCGGAGTGGCCACCTCGGGCCGGCCCTACACCACGGGCCAGCCAAGGGGTTCCTCTTTGTTCACCGTGGTTGACCAGGCCACGGCTACTAAGCCCCCCCGCCACGACAAGGCGGGAACCCGTTCGGGGGGGAACCTAACCTAACCTAACCTAACCTAACCTAACCTTTTTTTTTTTTTTTTTTTTTCGTGGGGAAATCCTCATGGATACCTCCGGCTGCGGGGGCAACCGGAAGGTTATGCCGGACTCCTACCGGCTAAAACCCCACGGTGCCTCCTCGCACGTGCGCGCGGGGCCGCGGGAATCCAAATTCTTCCGCAGCCCCACACTAGTGCTGGCCCGGTCTGTCCGGGCCTCGTCTCCTGCACGGGGTAGCAAGGTGTTCAGCTACCCCCCTCCACAGCCTCCAACTCCACCTGCGTATTGGACCCCCCCGAGTTCGATACGCGGAGGCCATGGGGCCCGGAAAATCGAGCGCTTAATAGCGCCCGCTTTCCCGACCCCAGCGGCGGATCTGGTCGCGGGCTCCGCCGCCAACCAAGTTTCGGCCGCGGAGGGTAGGGAGAGCGGCGCCTCGCAATACCGACACTCCTCTCCCACCGCGGCCCCACCACCACCGCATCAACGGTGCGGCCCCGTTTGAGTCGCGGAGGATAGGGCGAGTGGCGCATCGCCATACCAACACTCCTCTTCCTCCGCGACTCCACCTCGGCTGCAGCGGTAGAGGGAGCGGACACCCCTCTCGCCGCAGTCCACCGACACACATCCAAAGTGGGCTTCCCAAGCCCACTCGGAGCGGCCACCTCGGGCCGGCCCTACACCACGGGCCAGCCAAGGGGTTCCTCTTTGTTCACCGTGGGTGACCAAGCCACGGCTACTAAGCCCCCCCGCCACGACAAGGCGGGAACCCGTTCGGGGGGGAACCTAACCTAACCTAACCTTTTTTTTTTTTTTTTTTTTATTTTACGGGGGGAAATCCTCATGGACTACCTCCGCCTGGGGAAAGGCGGAGGGGCGTGCCGGACTCTTACCGGCTAAAACCACCCCGGTGTCTCCTCACACGTGCGCGTGGGGCCGCGAGAATCCAAATTCTTCCGCAACAACCTAACCTAACCTTTTTTTTTTTTTACATGGGGAAATGCCTACGCATACCCGCCTCGCGGGGGCAAGGACGGGTTATGTCGGACTCGCAGCGACTAAAACCCCATGGTGTTCCACCCTCGTCGCATATTGGCAGGGCCACGGGAACGCTTTCGCACACTTCCGCGGCCCCACCTGCGCCGGCCACCCCATGGCGGCCCCTCCTCGGGAGAGGACCACTCCTCCCCCATCTCCTTCTCCGGTAAGGCGCACCAGAACACATGGCGCGCCCTCCTCCTAGGCCTCCAATTTGATACGCGCAACAGACGCCCCCGCGTCCGACGCGCGAAGGCCATGGGGCCAGGAAAAACCAGCACTAAGAAGCACCAGCCTTCCCGACCCCAGCGGCGGATCTGGTCTATGGCTCCGCCGCCAACCAAGATTCGGCTGCGGAGGGTAGGGAGAGCGGCGCCTCGCAATACCGACACTCCTCTCCCCCCGCAGCCCCACCACCACCGCATCATTCAACGGTGCGGCCCCGTCTGAGTCGCGGAGGATAGGGCGAGTGGCGCATCGCCATACCAACACTCCTCTTCCTCCGCGACTCCACCTCGGCTGCAGCGGTAGAGGGTTGCGGACTCCCCTCTCACCACAGCCCCCCGACACACATCCGAAGTGGGCTTCCCAAGCCCACTTGGAGTGGCCACCTCGGGCCGGCCCTACACCTCGGGCCAGCCAAGGGGTTCCTCTTCGTTCACCGTGGTTGACCAAGCCACGGCTACTAAGCCCCCCCGCCACGACAAGGCGGGAACCCGTTCGGGGGGGAACCTAACCTAACCTAACCTTTTTTTTTTTTTTTTTTTTTACATGGGGAAATGCCTACGCATACCCGCCTCGCGGGGGCAAGGACGGGTTATGTCGGACTCGCACCGACTAAAACCCCATGGTGTTCCACCCTCGTCGCATATTGGCAGGGCCACGGGAACGCTTTCGCACACTTCCGCGGCCCCACCTGCGCTGGCCGCCCCATGGCGGCCCCTCCCCGGGAGAGGACCACCCCTCCCCCATTTCCCTCACAGGTAAGGCGCACCAGAACACATGGCGCGCCCTCCTCCTCGGCCTCCAATTTCATATGCGCCACGGACGCCCCCGCGTCCGATGCGCGAAGGCCATGGGGCCAGGAAAACTAGCACTCAGTAGCACCAGCCTTCCTGACCCCAGCGGCGGATCTGGTCTATGGCTCCGCCGCCAACCAAGATTCGGCTGCGGAGGGCAGGGAGAGCGGCGCCTCGCAATACCGGCACTCCTCTCCCCCCGCAGCCCCACCACCACCGCATCAATAAACGGTGCGGCCCCGTCTGAGTCGCGGAGGATAGGGCGAGTGGCGCATCGCCATACCAACACTCCTCTTCCTCCGCGACTCCACCTCGGCTGCAGAGGTAGAGGGTGCGGACTCCCCTCTCGCAGCATCCCACCGAC